TTTGTCATTGCTTTCTTTCCATTCTAGCACGTGGTCCTGAGAAATCGTAATGATCTTCCCCTCTAAGTAACATACAGAGCCAATTCTGCAAAGGGTTTTGTGGTTCTACCAAGGCCAACTAGGAACCTGCTTTGATAATAAGCAGCAGAATTAGAAATATAGAAATTAAACATAATATTCAGTTCCAACCATCCTTGACTACTAAACAATTCCCTCACTCTCCAAATCTGTAAATAAAGATTCTTTTGAAACATTTTCAAAGAAATGGAACTCGAGAAGGAAGTATCTTTAGACAAGGGATGAATTACTGCACACTTAGCTCTATTCCTAGGTTTATGCCTCTTCTTCTAGTCCTTCGCATGTTAGAATCACTGACTTCAGAAACCTGAACTGGATCAGGATACTTTCAGAACTCTGGATGGCACAACTGTACATAAACATAGCCAAGCAGAGCTCATTTAAGTTGGATGGTAATTTCTAGCATGAAGTAATATATTAAAAAAGTAGAATTGAGTCCTTTTCTGCCTTTCATTCCTGTCCCCCACCATATTCCTCACAGATGATTTTCCTCTGTCTAAAGGGAAAGTTGCAGGGGGCTACTGGAAAATACTTAGGGATGCGGTGGCTCAGTGGCTAAGACGCTGAGCTTGTCGATTGAAAGGTCGGCAGTTCAGCGGTTCGAATCCCTAGTGCTGTGTAACAGGGTGAGCTCCCGTTACTTGTCCCAGCTTCTGCCAACCTAGCAATTCGAAAGCACGTAAAAAATGCAAGTAGAAAAAATAGGGACCACCTTTGGTGGGAAGGTAACAGCATTCCATGAGTCTTTGGCATTTAGTCATGCCAGCCACATGACCACAGAGATGTCTTCGGACAGCACTGGCTCTTCAGCTTTGAAACGGAAATGAGCACCGCCCCCTGGAGTTGGGAACAACTAACACATATGGGCGAGGGGAACATTTACCTTTTACCTTTACTGGAAAACAATGGCAGTCCCACAGAAAAAGCTCAGTAGTTCTCTCCTCTCTTTTCACATTATTACATCTAGCTAAGCCCAGATTTGGCAAACTGCATCAAGCATACTTGACTGTCTTCCATGATGAAACAAGCAGCATCTGTTTCTAATTCAACATGTACAGAAGTGATACTCATGTGATGCATCCTTGCAACCATGAAGTTCAGAGGCAATTCAAAAACAATGTCTGCAGACACCGAGACGCAGTTAATAAAAGCAAATCTTCTAAATGAAAGGTATCAATGTTCCATGCAATGTTAGCCTAGTCCTTTACCATTGAGAAATTAATCTCAAAACTTAAGAGGTAAGAACAACATGAGTTTATAATAAAGTACAAAAACTTTACAAACAAATGTAACATATAAAATCCACCCATCCGAGGACCTTGACGATAGAGATTCACATTTATATTTATCATGTGCTTTATATTTGTATTTTGTTTAGAAAGATATTCTTATTAAAAATACATTTAAAGAACTAAAATGAAAACAAAATGATTACCAGCAAAACCAGCCAGCTTCATTTGTCCAAATAAAGAGCAGCTATTTATTTAACTTTTTAATATGTAGGGTTTTGTTTATTTAGGTAAGAGTCTTTCTGGAATCCTTTTGGCATCCCGAGCATTTTCAACTCAAAATCATCAACATCAAGCTTTATATGGACTACCTGATGCCTAAAGTAAACATTGGTACAGATGAAAGCTTAAAGAGCTTAGTAGACCTGGAGTGAGCGTGCTGGTCTTATTTATTTGGAAGCTTATTCTTGCTAATAGTTAATCTGGGGAGCAAATGCTCTCAAACTGTGAAATGAATTCACTGCAAAGTTTGGTGCATCCTAGTGACATAAATTGCTTACATAAGTCCAACTTAAAATGGCAAATAAAGTCTGCTTTTACCACTGAAAAATCCACACATGAAGATGAGCCTTTCTCACCATTAGCACAGGTCAGAGAGATGTTTTTAAAATCTTATGTCCCTTCCCCTAATTGTTATCTAAAAACTACAACATATCAACTTTATTCCTTTTTTGAACTATCGAGACCCTTTAATATATATTTTTTTCTTCTGTTCAATCGTATCTGATTCTTGGAGACTACTTTGACAAGTGCCTGCCATGTTTTTGGGCAAGGTTTTTCAGAAATGGTTTGCTACTGCCTACTTCCTAGGACTGAGAGAAAGTGACTAGCCCAAGGCCACCCACCTGGCTTTGTGCCTAAGCAGGAATAGAACTCACGGTCTCCCCATTTTTAGCACTCCCAGTACTGGGACTGAGTGACATCTGGAAAGGATAAATTTTCTAAAATAAATAAATAAAATAAAATACTTCGCTTTAATTCCATCTTCAATGGAGCATTCTTTGTTGCACTGTGTCAACTTCTAGACACTGTACTCATTAAAGCAGTCACTTTACCAGTTTTCTACCGTCTTCTGTATCCGAGTGGCGCATCTACAGAATACATATTTTGTTGAAGCAAAGCTGTTTGGGGATACAAAAAGAGCTTGCCAAGATGCTGCACTTTGGGGCATCCACAGAATACATATTTTGTTGAAGCAAAGCTGTTTGGGGAAACAAAAAGAGCTTGCCAAGATGCTGCACTTTGGGGCATCCTTGTTAAGATACCACGTTATTTCAGCAGGTCCAAGTTGAAATAACTCTACAAAATGTTGCTCTTTCACGTGACCTTATTCTACTGTCAATTTCATTGTCCGAGTCCTCAAAACCAGTATGAGACTAGACTATACTTCATTTCTGCTTACCTCAATGTATTGAGAAGTGGCAGACAATAACATGGATCAATCAGATGGATCAATCAGAACTCCTGCTAGCTGACTAATATAAAATATTGTATTTATTACTTGCCTTGCATTCAGGAAGTAAGGCAAGGTAATAGCTCCTGCCAATGGAGAAACAAGTTCAGCACTTCACAAGTATTGCAAAAGGAAATTCTACATTCACTGTCATTTTATGTGTATTGTAGCTGAGGTTAAAATAAATGAGAAAGTCTGCTGACATTGTAGGATTACAGAGATATACAGTAGATAAAGAGTTACTTTTAAACTGATCTACAATCTGTACATGGAGGTACTGGGAGTTTGATAAGCATACTATTATTTATCAGAAAACATGGCGCATTCCATAAAATTTTAAAATAGGTTACTTGAGTTCTCTAATACAAGCATTAGATTTAGTGGTTCACAAATTAGCTAGAATTCTAACTTTGTACAATAATGTTGTAAGTCTACATTTGTTTGAAAGGAGTCTGATTATATGATGTTATATTATATATCACCATTTCCCACCTTTTTTCTATCTTTTTTCCTAGTTCTTCTAGTGGCAGATCATTCCTTTACTAGATCTTTCAAATGCTTTTATTGGTTGACCCAAAAGATATGACAAATGCCTAAATTTCACACCTCCCAGACATCATATTTTTTATCATTATCTCTCTCAAGGAACTGTTAATTTTCCTTCTAATAATCTCTCAACAGCATTCTTCTCCAATACAGCATCATCCTTGGGTGTTTGACTATATCTCCCTTAATTCCCCAGTCAGAATGGCTATGACTAGGAATTTGAGCATTAGTATAGAAGGAAGATCATGAGAACAAATGTTTATTAATTGAAAGCAAGGGCATTACAAAGCACTATTCCATGGTTGAGAGGCTGAGAATTAAAAAAAAAAGCAAGGAAAAAGGAATATAATATTGTATAAGTGCTATAATATTATTGTAATATTGCTGCTTAAAAATATTTAATTATCCCACACAAGCTTTTGTATCAGAAATTTGCAAAGATATGCTTGCTGTCTAATTTGTTCAGCTTGTTCCAACATTTGATTTGCTACTATTAGAAATTCTTTTCCCATTTACACTGCATTACTAAAAATCTGTTGTACAAAGAAAATTTTAAAATTTAATTTTTGTCTCTGTCTTGCCTCTGGTTCTTTTCTCTGAATAAGTGAACAATGAAGTTTCCTTAATAGTGGCTAAAAGTAATGTTTCCTGACAAACAAGATTAGGATTACAATCAAAATGTGTGTTTATACTGAAGGAGACAGTTGCCCTGTCTCAGAATCACATGATCACCATCTGCAATCCTCCCAGCTGGTTTCTGACAAGTAATAGGGGAAGCCAAATTCACTTAACAGCCACAATATTCACTTAACAACTGTGTCTACAAAGGTCGTAAAATGGAACACCACTCACTCAGCAATTGTCTTGATTAGCAATGGAAATTTGGGGCTCAGTTGTAAGTCAAAGATTACCTATAATAGTAAACCCAACACCCACACTTAATCATCCATAAGAAAGAGTTCTGGAGAACTTAAAAGCTTGTTTGATATTTTGTAATATTTATAGTTCACATTACCTAATGAGAATCTTGGATATTTTTTTTTCTCATGGCCAAGCAATTCAATTTGCTTTTTGATTGATTGTGGTTTATCAAGTCATTACCAACTCTTAGCAACCACATAAATAGGTTAGATTATCCATGACAATTTGCTTTGGATATCAGTCAACAGAGAGTGGATTGTTTCTTTGTACTGGGCTGATTATTTTAGGTAAGTATTAATATTTCAATAGAACCAACTCATTAGGAACTATGAATCCTAGTTTCCCTCATTTTTGCACCCTTGCTTCATGTTCTAATCTAACCTGATTAGAACATTGATTAGCTTTTGAACAGTCACTGCTCTTAAAACTATTAAGTTTCTAAATCAACAGATTAAATGTTCTGCAATTCCCCTACAAACACATACATACTGAGTCACTCTCTATCTCTGAATGGTTGCTATCATGCAATCAGTTACATCTCTCAAAATATTCACCACTGAAAAACGATTCTAGTCAGATGAGACTGACTAGTGTAAAAGGCATCCTGTAGCTACAAAGTGGTCTGATAACAAAGATTAAACTATATCATTTCTGCCGAGGACTCAGAAGAGCTTAGACAAAGAAGAATGCCTCTTTCATTTAGCCAAACAAACCTTCTGCCTCTTGGTGATAACTTGAATCTTTCCTCTTTTTTTTTTCTTCCTTGGGAGAAGGAATTTTCAAACTTCTCTATCTCCTCCTTGTTCTGTTTGTGCACTAGAGGAAGGGGGAAAAAAAGGAAAGATAAGTGAGTAAATAAATTCCAAAGCTTTAGTCAACTGCTCCAAATGGACATTTTCTTTGTCACTGTGAACTTCAATCATGATGTCTTTTGGAAAGCTTTACAGACAGTTATTCTGCTCAACTCCCGTCTACAAAACAGTTAGCCTCCCTGCTTCTGAAACAACACCCTCCCCTACTCCCTGCAATTTTTCAGGGTTGTTAAAATATTACTCTGCCAGAACATTTGGGAGACATGAAGATCTGCTCTAACCCTGGTAGATGGCTCAGTTAATCCTTTCCCTTCTCTTTTACAGTTAGAATTTAAACCAGTGATGGCTAACCTTTTTGTCGTCGTGTGTCGGTACCCATAATGCTATGCATGCGTGACACACTCCTATGCCCTGCCCCCTGCACATGCAAGTGCAACCCCCTCCCACGCATGCACACGCATCTCCCGCATGCGCAGCAGAGACCCGAAAATCAGCTGGCTGGCGGGAGGCACGCATACATGCTCAGTGGAGCTGAGCTGGGCAATGGCTCGCATGCCCACCAAGAGGGCTCCGTGTGCCAGCTGTGGCACGTGTGCCATAGGTTCGTCATCATGACCCTAGACTGTTTCAAAGCTTTTATTAAGCTTTTATTAAGCATCACTTAAAGCTTGTGACAATAAAGTGACATAAAATATCAGCAAATGAATATACCTGGTACAATCCACACACTCCATTGTATAGGCATCCTTGCCTTTCAAACCTTAACAATTTTAATCATTTACTATAAAGATATTAAACAACAGTCCTTCCTACCCATCCACTTTTTAGGTTCCATTACTCTACTACTCTATTACAATGCATCATGTTTGGCCAAACTACAATCTTCTTATACATTGTTTTGATCTCCACTTTTAGTTTTCTAAAAAAAACAAAACAAAACATATGAGGCTGTACTGGAATTTTAATTTTGTTCAGTATAAAATTCTTTATTTAATTTCTATGGCTGTTCATGTGAACCAAGTGACTTTGGGTGGCTTACAGTTCTAAAACAATAGAATACTTCAAAACAATAAAAAAAACCACACACACCAAATTGTTTTTAGTAGCCGAGATAATTAATGAATTAATAGTAGAACCAAGAAGTGGGGCCCTTAATACATTTGAGGCCCTAGGCCTGGCTACACAGTCAGGTTTTTAAAGCATTATGAAAGGCCAACAAAGTTGGGGCCATTCTAATCTCAGAGGGCAGAATATTCCATAGGTCAGGGGCTACAGCGGAGAAGGCTTATCAGTGATTCGACACTGTTTGACTAATGCCAAACAAAGAAGAGGGGCTCAACTTATTTTCCAAAGCACCAGAAGGCAAGAGAAGAAACAGTGAATGGAATTCACATAATTCCTGGAATTAAGGAAAAACATCCTAACAGTGAGAAAGTTAACCATTGGAACAGCTTGTTTTCAGAAGTTGTGGGTGCTTTAACACTGAGGGTTTTTAAGAAAAGACTGGACAACTACTTGCCGAAATTGTCAAGTAGGGTGTCCTGCTTGAGCAGGAGATTGGACTAGATGATCTCCAAGGTCCCTTCCAGCTCTATTCTGATGGATTAGTGTGGGATTTCCAACATGCTCAATCTGTTGGACCAAATTGGATGAGTAGAGTCTCTTGGAAAAAGGCAGCCCCTCAGGTAACCCAGTAACCCAGTCCCAACCCATATAGGACTTTAAAGGTGACAATTGCACCTAGAATCCCACTGGTGGCCAATGCAGCTCATGTAATATTGGTGCTACTAATGCCATGGATCCAATACCATTTACTATCCATGCAGTCACATACTGGACCAGTTGAAATTTTCAAGTGTTCTTCAAGGGCAGCCCCATGTAGAGCACATTGCAGTAATCTTTAGGGCTGTGTTTTTTTTTTTAATTTATCAATTGAATACATGAAGTCCTGATACTGAAGAAAATACCTATTTCAAAACTTAAGTACCTCTCTATTTTACATGTATCTTTTCCAGCTTACTCTGAAATGTCTCTGAAATTGCTTTACTTCCATCAAGATAAAAATAAAAATCCATGCTTCTTTCTTTTCTTAATACTTCAAGCAAGACAGAAACCTAATGCATTTGATTCTTAGTGTAAAGGCTACTGGAATAATCACATTTTTTTCCTGCTCACCCATAACTAGTCCTCTTTTATTGCCATTCCTCCTTTGTCTATTTTAATTGCAACTCTTTTTTAGACCTGGTCCACATATCCAGCTTAGCCATGATTTACTTTGATTTATTCATATTGAATAATGCACAGTTGGCTGATTTTCATTATATCACATTTGGTTATAAATGTTGACTGACAAATTAAAATTACTTGACTTACACAAAAGGCAAATAAATGATATTGCCTGTGAACTCATTTGTGATTTCTTGCCATCCTTCAATTTTTTGTAAAACATAATCCACACAAGAACATAAGAAACCTCTGTATATACCAGGGGTCACCAACCTTTCGGACATCAGGGACCACTAAATTCATAATTGTAAATCCCGCGGACCACTAATATGATTTTTTTAAAAGATAAATAGTATTTAGTGCCATATAAAAAATGCAAATAATTTTTCTGGAGACCACCAAAATTTTCTCACGGACCACCAGTTGGTGACCACTGGTATATACAGTGTGACTGTGACCATAGGTTCAGATAGCCCAGTAATGTCCAGGACAATAATCTATATCTTTAGGAAAAAGTTGTTCAACTCTACCTACAGACATTGGGGATGGACTTCTTGCATTTCAAGTGCATGCTCTATAATAAAACATGCCAGCATCCTGAGTGCTAAACAATAAGCTGCACTTACTTTTTCTACTAGATCTTGAAGTAAGGATTTATCACAACTGTTCTTTGAAAGCACCTTGATTACTGATGACAGTCATGAGGACGAGAAGGCGGCAGCAGCAGTAGTAATAATAGTACGGATAGTAGTAATAGCAGCAACATTTGTGCACAAACTAATCAGAATGTTAACATCCTTAAAAAATAAGTAAGGGACCATTCTAAGACACATGTGGGAAGGATCATACCAAATTTAACTGAGAATATTCTCCTTTTTTGATCCTGCAAAGTTCCTGCCACTCCAAAACCAGTGCCAGTTGAAACAGCACCAAACTGATGAATTACCTGAAAAGGCTGTATTCAATTCTCATTTCCCATAAGAGACATGGTGGTGCAGTGGTTAGAATGCAGTACGGCAGGCTAACATGCTGCTCACTCCAGGAGTTCAATCCTGACAGGGCTCAGGATTGACTCAGCCTCCCATCCTTCCGAGGTCAGTAAAATGAGGACCCATATTGTTGGGGGCAATATGCTGAGTCAGTAAACCGCTTAGAGAGGGCTGTAAAGCACTATGAAACAGTATATAAGTCTAAGTGCTATTCCTATTTATTTTATTTACCTCTAAATTATTGAGAGTACAGAAAAACCTTTGTGAACATAAGTATCCAAGCATTCATTGCTCTGATACAAGCATTTGTGTGGATCTGAAGGTTTCGTTTCATCAATTTGCAAGATGTAATGTGTGTCTTTTTAAGAAAAACAACAACATCACGGGCATTATGCCAAGTCAAACTAAAAAGAATCCCAAGCATTAAGCATGCCTCATATATTAAACAAATGTAGGAGGTTTCATGACAGTGAAATATTACATTTTCAATGTAACTCCTGAAGTTTCTCAATATCAAAATTTAATTCCTTATAGGCTTTGAAAGTTCTAACTGCATTTAAGGGAATATTTTCCGCCTACCATCCTTAAGAAGATTAGGTTATTACCAACAAGAAATAAATCCAGCATTTTAATACTAATTCCTACTGAATCAAACTTACATTATTCAGGGAAAAGCATATATGAATTTCTTCCTTATTCATGTTCTGCTGTATGCAGTCATCCAAACAATAAATACCCAGTGTGAAACTTTGGTATGCATGAGACAGATATTCTGACAATGGCTGCTACAATTATGCAAAGTGAAGAGATGATATTGGCAGAAAAATCTAACCATCCCAGTTTCTAGGCAGACATACTACAAAAAGGGATTAATATGATGATGTTCTGCTGGCAATATCAGGAATACTAACGAGTATTCCTTTATACTGTAAGACTAACAACCTGTTATTCACAAAACTTTTGTACTTCCGGAAATTTACTGGAGAAACTTATGACTTTCCCTGCTGGCTTCCCTACTGATTTTGTACATGAGAAGCCAGCCGGGAAGGTCATAAATAGTGATCATGTGACTGCAGAATGCTGCAGTTGTCGTAAGTGTGAACCAGTTGCCAACCACCCGTATCCTGAACACATGACTGTGAGGTGCTGGGATGGTCACATTCTGAGGACAGGGCATAAGTATAATTATTTCAGGACCATTGTAACTTCAAACGGTTGCTAAACAAGTGGTATACTTTTATTGTTTATTTATTTTTAATTTCTTATTATCATTAAAAGATAAAGAATGCTTGAATCTATGAGAAATGTAGACATCGTGCCAATTTCATAGTGAATCAGGTGGCTTATCAGGAAATAACCAAATTATTATGTCCTCTCCACTGGCTCTAGAATGCTCCTTATTCTCTTATTAACTCATAAGAAGGTAAAGGTAAAGGTTTTCCCTATCAAATCGTGTTCAATTCTAGGGGTGGTGCTGATCACTGTTTCTTAGCCGAGGGAGTCAGCATTGTCTGTGGGGGCTCCCACCCTCTGGAATCAGTTGCCCCCGGAGATAAGAAGAATCCAGGACCTCAATGCCTTCCGTCGTTCCCTGAAAACCCATATTTTTCAGCAAGCCGGGTTGGCTTAAGAAGAAATTTTTAAATTCTTTTAATTAGTCTGTGATTCTTAACTTTCGGGCCAAAATTTATATATATTTTTAAATGTTTTAATATTTGTATTCTATGTTTTTTATCTTGGCCCTGAGTCCTCAGGGAGAAGGGCGGTATATAAATTGGAAATTAAATTA